ATGGGGATCATAGCAAAGAATGCTGGGGGCTGCTTTTGGGGCTGGAGGAGAGAGGTGCTCGGGGGAGGGAAGTGGAGGTCCCCAGGGCGTGGTGAGGATGGACATCTCCAGGAGATGCGGCCCTTCAGGTCTGTGTCTTTGGTACTTTGTTCTTGATCATTGATAAGCCAAGACAGTGGGTTATGTGACCCTCTTAGGATCCACAGGAGGTCAAGTGGAATCTGAAATTGTGCTCATAGCTTAGCACATAAGGAGGACTTTCTCTCCAAGTATCCCATGCGACAGAGAGATAGATTTGGATGTTGGACAAAGCCCTCTCCTGCTGCCATCCTTCTACCTGCCACCAGAAAACCTGGGAGGGGTGACCAGTCAGTAAAGTGTGTGGCGGTTTGTCGGGAAGTGGGCAAGTTTCCTGTGTGGAGGCAGCCTATTGTGTTACACACTGGGTTTTTCTTTTGTTTATTTGACCACTTTATCCCAGCTGCTAAAGACCTGCTGTATACAGGACCCGGTTTTCAGGGAGCTGCTCATCACTTTTGGAATATGTGGCCTTGGAAGACGGCCTGTGGTCATAAATTCCAGATGTCTTGGCAGGCAGGGGGATGCCAAGGTGACCAGGTTGGGGTGTGGGAATGTTCCCATGCCAGAAGGCATGTCTGCCAGGAGGAGGCTGTTGCAGGGAGCTGCTGCCTCTGCGAGTGTTGTGAGGTTCAGCCGGAGGCTGAGCTGGCCTGTCTGTGGCATGTGTGACTCTGGAATGCCATAGCCTCAGAGGAGCTCCACTGTCAGAGCAGAGCACTGCGGCTGGGGAGAGCCTGCAGGGGTTCACGCACATCTGCCCTACCTTCTGCTCTCATGGGGTGAGCAGCCTGCCTGCCCTGTTTCTGAGCATCTGTTGTTTTGAGTCTGATTATAGACTCTTGAAGCTTTGTTCTTAGACCCCCCACTGTGGCTTTGAACAGGCCGGGTGTGTTGTGGTTTGTCAGGAGGTCTTCTTGGACTGGCTGCTGCTGAAGGTGGTGGGTGGGCCCAGGCCACCCCCGGGCAGAGGTTTCTTCAGACGAGGGCTCCTTCCCCATCCTGCCAGGGCACTAACTTGTTCTTGATGAAACCTCTTTGGGCTCTTCACCACCAGCCCCAAGGATGCCCTCTCCTCCTCACTGCACAGAAGACTGAGTCTCCAGTCTTTTGTCTGCTACAGAAAAATCTTGGAAAGGCCAAGAGTCAAAACTGGCTCCAATTCTCCAAATGGAGATGGTTGTATTGGGAGCTCTGGTATGGAGCTTGCCCTAAAATATCGACAAGGGCTTGCTGAATAACTTACTATTTCTGAAGAAATTTGGGGGGAGATAAATTGATACAATAGAAGGAAAATACCTATTTCTACAATGAATTTGAGACCCAATTTGTTAATTTCATACTCACCTATGGCTTATGAGTGCCTAAGTAACTGATGAGGTCATTCACTGCCATTTATTCTTTTCTTCTGAACTCATTCGTCCTTGTTTATAGAGAGGATTACTCCCTGCTTCTCTGGTCATTTCCCTCCTCTGTCTTGCTGGCATAACAGGTGTGTCCTGGGTGACAGAATTGCTGTGGGGTCCAAAACACTCCTGTAGTTGTAATTGCAATTCGGGTTCAGTGCCCTGAAGGAAAAATAGGGACCAGGTAACAGCAGGGACATTCTTTACCACCGGGAAAATGGATGAGTAGAAGCTCACCCGGGACAGAGGGAGTGGCCCCCACCCACAAAGACTCTGAGATAAAACATCACCTGAGGAGAACCATGCACTTTCCACTCAGCCACACATTTCTACTGCTTATTTCCAATAGTCATGTAGGTAGCTTGGTACTGGAGAGGCGGCCACAGTGGTGGCAACCTCAGTGACAGCGAGAAGGGTGGGGATGCTTTGCCCGAATTTCTATCTGAGGTGGAAGGAATCCACTGGAGCATTTTTACAAGGCTGTGACAGGCTCCAATCTCCATTTTTGGGACATCATGTTGACATACTATATGATTCTATTTCTATAAAGTACAAAACAGGCAAACTAATCTTTGCTGTTAGAAGTCAAGAGACTGGCTCCCCTGGAGGTGGAGGAGTGTGGTGACTGAGAGAGGCTCTCAGGGTTTCTGGGAAGCTGACGAGGATCTCTTTCTTGATCTAGTACCAATCCCTTGGGTGTACCTAGCTTGTGAAATGTTTCAAGCTGTACTCTTATGATTTATGCATTTTTAAAAGATGAGTGTTATATGCCAGTAAAGTTCTTGAAAGATTACTCTGGCCGTTGGTTAAAGAATAGAACATAAGAAAAGAGTGGATGTAAGAAATGGGTAGGAAGTCGTGATAGTGGACTTCTGCCCTGAGCCTCAGTGTCCTCATCTGTAAACAAAAGGGCTCACATGTACCTCTCAGGGCTGGTATGAGGATTAACATTATTTAGCAAATATTTATTGTTTTCTTGGTGAAAACAATTTTGGTAGCACTTTCCCGCTCCCCCGAGGTGAGAGCTGACTGGGACCTGGACTAGGGGTTAGAGGTGGTCAAGCAGGTAGAGGGCACAGAGTGGACCTGGGACTTGGTTTAGAGTTGGAAGAAGCTGGGCAAGAACTGGAATGGGGAGGAGACAGTGTGAGGTCCCAACAATGGTTGGGGGTGTGGATTTGAGGAACTGATGGGGAGTCAGAGTTGGAATGTGTGGGATACAGTTTGATATGAGGCCCAGGAGACTTCAGTGTGAAGCCCAGGATCCCCCCAAAGGTGTATGAGCAGGGTGCCCATGGGAGGCATGTGGGAAGATGGGCACAGGGCTAATGACAGAACCCGGACACCATCAACATCAGGTGGGGAGAAGGAAGAGGGCTGCCACAAGGATTTCAAAGAAGGAACCGTCAGCGAGAGAGCTAGAACATGGGGATGGTAAGTGGCATCACAAATGGCAAGGGGAACCCTGCAGAAGGTAGGTGAAGCCATTGTTGTAGGGCCCACCAGATGTGGCACTTAGGCAGCTGGCAGTGTTGGTGAAAACAATTTCGCTAGCACCTCTCCACTCCCCGCAGGCAGCATGGTGGGGCAAGGTGATGGATCTAGCATCAGTTTCCTGCTACTATTTGCCAACTCTGCCCTAAGCCTCAGTGTCCTCATCTGTAAACAAAAGGGATTACATGTACCTCTCAGGGCTGATATGAAGATTAACTTTATTCAACAAATATTTATTAAACATTTATTATATCCCAGATAGTCAGCCAGACACAGAAGATACAGAGTGACCAAGAATGACAAATGGGGAGACAGAAATAAGTAAGACTATGAGTTGATGTGAAGAAAAGAAATGCCCTCCGTGCTTCCCTGCAGCCACCATCCAGCCTTCTTGGACTGTGGGGTCCCTCCCTTTCTGACTGGATTCCTTGGGGTCTGCTCCTAAGGTCCTAGCTCTTCTGATACCATGTCTGCAATCCCACTTTCTCATTCTGAAAACCTAGCTTATCTTTCCTTGAAGGCAGGAAGAGAAGGGCTTAATCTTCAAGCTCTTCCAGGATGCAAGAACAAATATTGACATCCCATCCTATTATTAGAACAAAGAGTAGGAAGAATATAAAACAGTGAAGTTTTGATATTGATGTTTCAGTAATGTTGAATAGGTCTGAATGTCCTATTCCTACCATAAATGGATGCAAAGCAGATCTTTTTCAACCTAACAAATTACTGCCAACTTCCCAGAAAGACAAGATGGCACTTGATGAAAATGTTTCTGGCTTAAAAAAAATAATAATTAGAGAATTTCTGAAGAATTTGGACACATATTTACATAAATACCAGTGATAATTATGTTTTGAAGTGTTTCTTTTTCTGGGAAACCAGGCTTCCAGCTGATCTGGCAAATTCATTTTGTCTCACATGCTTTTGTTTAATCTCTTCCAAAATTATTTTTCAATCTGTGATGTCTAAAGCCCAGACCCCTGGCCCCTGCCATGGGGCAATCTTTCACTTGCAAGCTTCCCTTTCACCTTCTTTCACAGACCCCACCACTCCAGCTATCCACATGCTCCATTCCTGCTGCTGAGCTTTGGACAGGGCACCATTAGGAAGGAAACACAACACAAAACAACTGAAGCAGGATATTTCCCTTACCCCTTCATGGGTGAGAACTGGAGTGCACAGGCGCTGGACCTAGCCAGCTGCTTCGGCACTGGCAGGAACGGACTCTACTCACTCAAATCCACTGTGTTCCACCCCTTGTGGGAGAGGGAGCATAGGTCAGCAGGTGCAAGAGCTGGGGCTAGCGCATTTAGGCTCCAACAGGAGCAAAACAGGAGGAAAACTCCATGTGGGCCCCGCAACAGCATCTGGAGGCAGGGTCTCATGACCCCTGAAGCCCCAGAAGGAATGTTGCAGTGCCCTTTTAGCTCTGCCATCCAAAGATGGCTTGAGTGTTAAGAGCCCAGTGGAAGGTCAGTGTGACAGCCTTTTGCACCTGCACTCATGACATCTGAGTTCTTGTCTCATGTCCAAAAGGAATAAGGTTGCAGGAACGAATTGAAGACGGCAAATGTGGGGGATTTAAAAGCCAATGAAAGTGGCTCAGCTGGAAGGGGAGCCGAAAAGGGGACAGAGCAGGAAGGTAGTCTTCCCCTGGAGTCCAGCTGTCCCTGGACAGATGCCTCTCTGAAGCTATGCTGTCAAGCTGTCTCTCTGGTCAAGACCAACTTCTCTCCAATGTCCAACCATAGTCACTGATGTCCAGCTGTTTCTCCTCCCTCTGCTGGCTGAGCCTAGGGCTTTTATGGGCACAGGATTGGGGTGCAGAGTGGGCCATGGGTGGTTATGGAAAATGCAACATTCAAGCAGGAAAATAGGAATGTAAGTTCTCACTTGGGGCCATGGTTCCAGGCTTGAGGGTGGGGCCCTCGCTAGGGACCTGCCCTCTTCTGCCCACCTGGAATTTTCCTGCCTCCTGTCCCTATCACAACCACAATACACAGCTTTTTAAGATGACTGGAGTTATTAGGAGCTAGGAAGTTTGTCCATCTGCCTTTTTTTTGTGCTCTGTCTTCCTTCAAACATGGCCGCTGCAGTGGAAATCTGTATGATTCTTTTTCAGATTGTCCTGATCTTTGTACTTCCAAGGGCCCCCAGGAGCCTGTCTTATCAAAGGCCTTTTTAAGCTCATAATAACACAAGGTGCAAAAATACAAAATAACAACAAACACTACAAGATTATGAAGATTGGGATTTCCAGCGTCCATTTAAATTGTATCTTATACGATGACCTTCAAGTGAGATTTTCGTTGAAGTTGAGTGTCCTAAGCTAAAAAAGTGGTCAAGAAATCCTGGTCAAGTCTGATTCAGTCAGGACTAGGTTCAGAGTGTTGCAGTATTAAAGGAAAGAGAATCCACCTTGCAGTTTGCTTCTCTGTGCCTGTTGTGGTTTCCTGTGGCCTCCGCTGAGGACACATGTGCCAGTCCTCCCAGAAGCTGTTCTCAGAGGCCTCACAGGGTGCCTTTGCTCAGTCATATTGGGGAACTCTGCCAAATAGTAAGGTCAACCTTGTGGACAGTAAAGGCTGGCAAGGGGACTCTGGAGAGAAGAAGGGGGAATAGTTACACTGAGCAGTGAGAGATTTGTTGGAGGCCTGGTTCCTCCAGCCCCCTGCAGCCTTCCCTCCTAGGCAGCGTCTCAGGCCCAGCTCGCTCTTAAGGAACAGGGAAGCTGTGATGGAAATCTATGTTTCTTCCTAGATTGTTCTGATTTTATAACCCCAATGACCCACAGGACCATGTCTTATCAAAGGCTTTTTCTATTTCATAATAATATGAATAATACTAAAGATATCTTTTGTCATTTGCTATGAGGAATACCACCAACTTTGACCCCAGGCTGGCCATTTTAAATCTCTGAACTTTATCTTGTACAGGCATTCTTCCTGCATGGGAAAATATTTTATTTCCTGAATCACTTCTTGAAAGAGTCATTCCCCTTTGGGGAAATGGGCCATGGTTTGGATCCACAGACACACCCTGCAGAAGGGACAGGAGGGGTGAGCAGCCCAACAGCTGAAGGAGGCCTTTTATTTTAGAATGCACTGGACTCTTGCTTTGCTTTCTTCATTTTAGGGGTTGGGGGCAGGGAGAAGGATCCTACTCCCCGCTTCAGCTCTGAGGATCTTTTAGGTGTGACTCAGAGGAGCCAGCCTAGAAGCCCTTCCCACCTTCAGATACCTGCATGTCTTTTTTTTTTTTTTTTTTTTTTATTTTTTCTGAGATGGAATCTTGCTCTCTGGCACCAGGCTGGAGTCCAGTGGTGCGATCACAGTTCACTGCAACTTCTGCCTGCTGGGTTCAAACGATTCTCCTGCCTCAGCTTCCTGAGTAGCTAGAATTACAAGGCCTTGCCATACCTGCCTAATTTTTGTATTTTTAGTGGTGGAGATGGGGTTTTGCCATGTTGTCCAGGCTGGTCTCAAACCCCTGGCCTCAGATGATCCGCCTGCTTCAGCATCTCAAAGTGCTGGGATTGCAGGCATGAGTCACTATGCCTGGGCAGATGCCTGTGTGTCTAATGACACTGGGAAGCAGCCAGGAGTCACCCTTCTGAGTTCACTTCTTTATCCCTGTTGCATTAGGGCCTCTTAAACCCCGAGCCCCACCTCCTAGTTGAAGGGAACTGCCAACCAGGACCAAGAATGAGTTGTGTGAATGGAGACAGTGCAAAGAAGTGGAGATGGGCACACAGCCAGAGCCAGCACCACTCTCAAAAGCCGCCTGCCAACTGTTGGAGACACACCAACTGTTTTGGAAGACTTAGTCAAGTAAATGAGGTATCAGGATTCATGAGTGTAGTGGGAGGAGTAGTTTTTTGGTGTACTTTTTGGTTTGACAACCTAGTCCACCGACAAATACATACTTCTTGAAGCCCTTCTTTTTCCCATTGAAAAACTGGGGACAGAATGATTTGTCTGCTAGGTTTAGCACCAGGAAATAGATTGGTTTATGATTCAAGATGGCAGACTGGGCTGGACATGGTGACTCACGCCTGTAATCCCAGCACTTTGGGAGGGTGAGGCGGGAGGATCACCTGAGGTCAGGAGTTCGAGACCTGACCAATATGGTGAGACCTCATCTCTATTAAAAATACAAAATTTACAAAAATTAGCCAGGCATGGTGATGGGCGCCTATGGTCTCAGCTATTCAGGAGGCTGAGACAGGAGAATTGCTTGAACCTGGGAGGTGGAGGTTGCAGTGAGCCGAGATTGCACCACTGAACTCCAGCATAGGCAATAGCAGAGTGAGACTCCATCTCAAAAAAAAAAAAAAGAGAAAAAGAAATAGATGGCAGACTGAACATGTTTGTCTCCCCTCCTCTCTGACACATTCATTATAATGAAAGTAATGAAGAAAAAGGAGGAAAACCAATGACAAAAAGCTGAAGAAGGAGGGAGACTATGAGTGGTTGAAAGATTTCGATAATTTCAGCGGGATGGGCAGGGGTTGGGAAGTGTTGATGGATGTGATAGAATGGAGGAAGACAGGCGGTCAGCTGCACGCACGGGAGCCCTTGAGGTTGGCACACCCCCGCAGAAGCAACAGATTTAGAATTGGTGAATGTGGCAGAAGAAGTGGGTCACCAGAGGGATTAAGATAGGATAGCCCTTTTCCCCTCGGAAAACACAAGCAACCTTCTCTCCTAGAATCAAGGAAACATCAGCCTGTGTGAAGGTTTGTGCCTAGGAGGTAAGCCCTGCTCCTCTGGCTCCCAGTGTGCTTCTCACAAAGTGATCTGGTAATAAAAATACTGATAGAACTATTAAAAGTTGGGAGGAGTAGGAAGAAGGGGGCATTGCAAGTATAAGTGTGCTAAATCCTCTTCCATAATAGCACACACTCTAAAATGACATGTCAAGAAACTGCAGAACAAGCGTATTATTTTGAGATGTGTGGATGTCTTCAACAGAAAACCCAAAAGCTAAAAGCAGAGACGGTTGTTGCCGACCTGCAGTGTTGGTGGTGGGCTGGTCTAAGTGTAGAGCTGGACTTTTTCCTTCTAAGTCTTTCCACATTACTTGATATTTTAAATGTACGTGTGTGTGTGTGTGTGTGTGTGTGTGTGTGTGTTACACTGATTCAAAACAAATTCAAATGTGAAAAGAAATGTTAATCGATTTTAATGCCATAGGTGGGATTCCAGTTGACTGTGGAATGGGAGGACTGAATGGCTGCCCACTGTTGCTCATCAGTGGGGTTGTCAGTGTGGTTCTGCAGTTCTGCTGCTTCTTCCCAAGAGTGTCAGTCTCAGAGGTGTGTTACTGCGAGAGGGTCTTGACAATGAGTTGTCTAGGTCCTTGGCATTTTCAGCAAAGAACTGAACAAAATGCAGAAACAAAGTTGCAAAGAAATGAAACCCAGGAATGAAGCAGTGAAAGCAGGATTTTTTTTTTTTTTTTTTTTTTTTTTGAGGAGTCTCCCTCTGTTGCCCAGGCTGGAGTGTAATGGCACAATTTCAGCTCACTGCAACCTCAGCCTCCTGAGATCAAGCAATCCTCCTGCCTCAGCCTCCCAAGTAGCTGGGACTACAGGCGTCTACCACCACGCCTGACTAATTTTTGTATTTTTAGTAGAGATGGGGGTTTCACCATATTGGTCAGGCTGGTCTGAAACTCCTCACCTTGTGATCCACCTGCCACGGACTCCCAAAGTGCTAGGATTACAGGCATGAGCCTTATTAAACCAAGAAACCGCTCCACAGGGTGGGCCCCAGCAAGCGGCTCAAAGGCCCAGTTACAAAGTTTTCTGGGCTTTTAAGTACTCAGTTGAGGTTCTTCCCTTTATCTGGATAAAGGATTTGATCTGTAACTAATTAAAGGCTGAAGCGAGTTGGTGCCCTATGCAGATAAAGGGAGGGTCTCTGCAGAGGTTTGTAAGGAGAGTAGCCTTTGATCCTTTGTTATTCAGAGTGGGGAGATGGGGTTTTCCCTTTGGTTTAGCTTTAGGAAGTTTATGTTAATTGGCATTAGATTCCCTGCCCCCGACCTTGGTTTTTGTCTTTTAGGACAGTAGCACAAATTGGCCTTAAGTTCCCTGTCTCCAGACGCTGTTCTCCTGTCCCAGGTGTTCCTAACTGTCTGGGATGTGGCCAGCTTGGCCTATAGAGCCGAGGAGCCGAATGTTCCGTGAGGCCAAATTGACTTTCAGGGGCTGGGAGAGACTAAAGCCAGCAGCACCTGGACGTCCCCTCCCTCTAATTCTTTCATTGAACGGCAGCATGGCCCTCAGCACCCCAAACTCTCCCTCCCAACATCCTGTTGTCCACGAAAAGAGTCAAACTCTGGCTCCGAACACATCTCTTCAAATATTTTACCAATAGAGTGACCATGGCCTGTGACACAGATTCTACATGTTTCTAATCAGACTTAAGGTCTGTGTTGATGTCAATGCGGAGAGGTATAATGAGGCCTGTCCGATCCCCACTTCCTATGGAGAGCTGAATCAGTCTTTTGGTTTGCATGGACGTAAGACATCAGTTGCATTTTCTTCCTTCCTTCCTTCCTTCCTTCCTTCCTTCCTTCCTTCCTTCCTTCCTTTCTTTCTCTCTTTCTTTCTTTTCAACTGAGTCTCACTCTGTAGCCAGGCTGGAGAACAGTGGTGTGATCTCAGCTCACTGCAATCCCAACTCCCAACGCAATTCTTCTGCCCCAGTCTCCAAGTAGCTGGGATTGCAGGCACCCACCACCATGCCCAGCTAATTTTTGTACTTTTCGTAGAGACAGGGTTTCACCATGTTGTCCTGGATGGTCTCGATCTCCTGACCTCGTGATCTACCTGCCTAGGCCTCCCAAAGTGCTGGGATTACAGGCAGGTGCCACCACACTCAGCTGACATCCATTGAATGTTCTAGTTTTCCTTCCCTGGTGTTTGTGTGGAAAAAATCAGAGTGGGTGGACAGCAGAGTCAGTCATTAAACAGGTAATAACCTTATGGGGATCACATTTCAGACCTTCTCCCTGGTGTTCCTAT